CAATTCTAACATCAAATAGAGATATTATTACTGAAGTTATAGTTTTTATATATAAAGAAATTACAATTAATATAGTTGCATTAACTTATTAAAAAATTTCTGGATTTAATTAATTATTCATTCAGAATATTTTTGTAATTCTATTTCATTAGAAAGCATATTGGCTAAATACTTAATATTTATAAAAGATGTTTTAAATCTTTATAATATGTCAACTAAAATTCTTAAACAAAATATTATTAGTGCCGAATTATTCTTTGGAAAGTTTCTTAAACCTATATACTTTTCACAATTAAATAATATTACGACTCAATATCTTGCACAATTTTATAACAAAGTTTATACTAAAAACCGATGAACATTATCTTTTACTGCATCTTGTGATTATGTTTCAAGCTTCAATTCAATTTTTGTAACATCTGCAATTAAGCAAACTAAAATTATATACAGTATATTGGAGATAAGAAGTTTGGTTCTATTTCTTCATGATTAAACTCTAATTTATATATAATTGCAGCTTTTGTTAATAAAAAAAATCAAAACTAGAAAAGAATATAAACTATATCACTGACCTAAAAAAGTATTATATTATTTTAAACATCAAGTATAAGTTTCAAAAGAAGTTACTATAGAAAATAATATAGATTTTGAAACAGAAGAGCATTTGTTTGCTTTTGTTGATTGGTATAAAACATCTAATAATATTAATTATTTTTATATATATAATCATGAAACTGATTGCTTTCAGTTTAATGAAGGTAGACATGCTCATGCTAGCATGTTTTATACTAAGTTGTGAGAAAATAGCTTTTATAAATATTCAGTTAAAAATATTCTACCTATTCAAAGAATATTTTGTAGATTTTTTAAAGTAGATTACAAATTACATTGATCAACTAAATATATTGCAGTTACTCTAATTAATAAGAAACTAAGATTTTAAATTCATTATTATAGAAATTAGAACTTGGTAGTAAAATTTAATTTATTAATAAAAATATAATTTGAATTATTAAAGTTAATTACCAGAATTACTTTTGAATTTGATTTACTTTTTTAGACTTTGTTATTATTATTTTTATATAGTATTACTTCTTCTTTTATCTTAACTGCATTATAATTAAATTAATAGACAAATCGCAAGTCATTTAAACAAATATATTTTTTTTATATATAAATTTTACTATAAGTTTGAATATGCAGCGCTTCTATTTAAAACTTTTTTTTTACTAAGTAAATTACTCTTGGGCTTGTAACAAAAGTTGTAAAGCTTATTAAGATGCATTTAATAGTAGTAAGATTATTAAAATCAGTCTGATAATTTTTGAGAAATCTTTAAAAAACTACTTTTTAACATATAAAATTTTTTTAAAAAAATCAATTTTTTTAAAGAAATTTTATATGTTAAAAAGTAGTTTTTTAAAGATTTCTCAAAAATTATCAGACTGATTTTAATAATCTTACTACTATTAAATGCATCTTAATAAGCTTTACAACTTTTGTTACAAGCTCAAGAGTAATTTACTTAGTAAAAAAAAGTTTTAGATAGAAGCACTGCATATTTAGACTTATAGTAAAATTTACATATAAAAAAAAAATATTTGTTTAGAAAACTTGTGATTTGTCTATTAATTGATCTTAATCTCTGACCCTCACATTACAAATTACATATACAAGTTACTACAATAACTATCAATATAAACTGATTACTTATAAGTACTAATATATATTTTTTTTTGAATATTAATGATAAGACTATGTCTCTGTCTTTATTAAAATTTAATTAAAATCTTTTATACAGAAAAAAAATTACAATTTAAACTTCATATCTAATGATAGCAAGAAAAGAAACTCAGCCTAGTTTATCTGCAGCCTAAACCAAAGTACTAATATTTACTATTGATGCTATATTAAATATTATAGTTATATGTTTTAATAATAATTAAACACTATCATTATAGTAACTTTTTTTTTTTTTAAATTGTAGTAACTTTTATAACTTTTATATTTCTTAATTAGAGATCTGGTAGTTTTTTTTTTTAATCTTCAAAGATGAGACCATGGCTCTATCTTTATTAAAATCTAATTAAACTTTTTTACAAATAATTAAATAAAGAAACTATATTATTTGAACTTTATATCTATAAGATATTAAGACTAGAAACTCAGACAGAGCCATTGCTAACTCAAGAGTTATAGAAGTTATCTGCTACCTAAACCTAAGTTGTTTGTGAATTTTCACATAAAAGAGAGATCAGGTAGGTTTTACGTTGCATAATAATACATTTGTAATATAAATATCATATAAGGCATATAAATTATTACTTAACTTTAAATGATCCTCTTATAGAGCAGTTATTTGATATAGTTATCTTAAAACTAGGCTAAAGGTACTTTATTCAAAGTTAACCATAATAAAGTAGCTTATATTATAAATTTTATTAACTAGCCTCTTTGATGTAAGGGTTTTTATTCAAGTATAATGGGCGGGGAGCTCACAACAGAATCTCAATTACATTAGAGAGTACAACTAGCCACACATGTGTCTTTTAAGCACCTATTTAAGTAGTCCGCATATAGATAACTGTACACCATAGGTTCTACACTAGCTGCCATACCTATAACCCAACTAGGAGATTACCTATTTAAACCCTTTGTAATGTACACTACCCCTTGTGTCATCGGAACACTCCATTACATTTGTCAGTCAAGAGTTTCAGATGCGTACCGTAGCCTTAGGACTAATTTATTATTGAGGCATCATTGCTAGAGCTTTCTATATCCACAATCCGGCTAACCTAAACTTTTGGTAACTTATGCCAAGTCCAAAAACAAGTACTTGCAAGCCGAAGCCGCTACTATTACCTACTTCTGCCCTTATAGAGTTTATCCAAACCTTAGCACCTACTTTACAGACCGTTTATCATTTCACCAGTCCTTAAACTCCCAATCCAGATAGCCCGGAAGGGCAGACCCCTTCTTCGGAATATACCAACGGTTTGGTTGGTATAGTGCCTTGCTGAACACCTCGATCTCGCTTAGTTTTCAGATCTTCAGTGATAATCCTTTATATAGCACCGTCAAAGATCTGTACTACCTCTTTACTCAAGACTTGCCAAACAAGATTTTGTGTGCTCCAGCCCTTAGATTTATATAAACGCTTCACTCGGATTTCATGTAACTCTTGTATCACACTATAGTTTCATGTTCTTCTAGTACAAGCTAGTATGACCAAAGCTACAGATCCAATAATCCATCAGATTACACACAGTTTGCTATAACATATTCTGTAAAATTTGAATTTTGTTGCCAGTGGAATTCGAACTCCTGTTCTGCTGCTTGGGGGTACGACAACTTACCAACTTCACTAAGTCACCACACCCAAGTTTATATTATAAATAAAACAGATGTTAATTATAAAAAGATATAATTAATATTACGGCTGATACTGATTTTTGAGGGTCTCAATTTGGATTCATTACATCTATTAAAACCCATATATACTTTTTAATTAACAATTTTAACTTTAAATTCTAGTCCAACTATTAAAAAAAAGCCAAAAAAATATATCCCAAAAAATTCTAAAATTTTATATTAAAATAGGTCTCAAAATCAGTATCAGCCAAATCAGCATTAGCTATGACAATTAATATAACAATAATAGATAATTATATAATAATATATTAGAGATATTATCTTGCTCTTACTGGTTAGTTGATGTTTAAAAGGTGTTTCGAAGCATATAAATAAAACTGGTTCTTGAACTCAGTTTATACAAATATATTAATAATTTTGCTTGCATAAGCAAGTTAATAAAATCTGCTAACTATTTATTAAAGCAATTTTATTTAAAAATACAAATATAAGAATCTTGAATACATAAAATAAATAAATATATGAATACTACACATTAATCAAAATTTGTATGTATAATGATATAAGAACAATTTTATTCTTCTTGAGATGCTTGTTCTTGTTTTTCACTGCTTAACATTCATATCTAGCAAATGTGCTTTGTAAGAACTTCACAATCCTATTTTAATTCTTAGATCTCAAGCACCTTCACTATATTTAAAAACACCAAATGAAATAAATAGAGTTTAAGAGTAAGAATAAGATTTGAATAAGGATGTATAGATAAATATAAACTAAAGATTTAATAAATATAATAGATTTTTTATACTTAAATTTTAAATACAAATATTTAACCAATATTTTATATATTTAAAACTAGTAGTTTAAATTTTATAAAATTTAGATTAAATATTAAACAAATATAATAGATTTTTTATACTTAAATTTTAAATACAAATATTTTTTTTCTAATTCAGCTATCCTGCCTTATTTATTATGATAATAGTCTTTTAAAAATTACAATAACTTTATCTACGACTATAGAGGTACAACCAAAATAAGACTAGTCCACATGATTTTATACACCAGATATGATTGTCTCAATAGCTTTTAGCCTTCCTTAGGGTCCTTAACTCACTAAGGACTTTTTTCTGTTGTTTATCAGCTAGTAGCTACCCACTGTATCAAGAAGCAATATAAGAAAAAACATAAAACAGACTAAAAAAAACACAGAGATATAGAGAGCTATAATAAAATATACAAATACAAAAGAAAAAAGAAGGTAAAGGGATATCGAAAAAAACAAAACAAAAGACAATTTTGCCTATCCTAATGCCACTATTATAAGCTTATAGATAACTTAGAAAAATTACATACTGACTAGACAAATTAGTCTCTACTTCTATTTTTTTCTAAACTAGTATACAAAAGTAAAACCTGATAGAAAAAACTTTATCGACTGACTTAAGGTAGAGAGGTCAGAACAGAGTCTTAGAGTATTATTTGTATAGATATTTATTGTATTTGAAACACATATATACATGTGTTTGTTGTCATATTCCAATTTGGGGGTTTACTAAAGCCTTGTATTCACGTGACTTTTTCTATATAGATCACGAATCAAAATTATGAGATTTTATTTACACAGATCAGCTCAAAGAAATCAAAAAATCAAAAAATGATAAAATATAAAAAACGGCAGTTTAAATCTGTCTTGGTATATTAATAAAAAATGCTAGAAAAAAAATATTACTTATATATCTGCCCTTACCTTAACAATAAATTAACTCTAACCTTAATTACAATTAAAACTTCAAAAATTACAGGGGTATAAAGTTTTAGTAATTTCCTAATTTGGGAGATAAACAATGCTGACTTGTTTAGTACATATGATGTTGATTATTTGAAGGAGGTAAGCTAAAATGCCCACTTTTTATAAAAATTTTTTTGAAAAAAAGTAGTAGGCCAATAAGAGTATATGAGGTTCTTCTTGTAAGTTTTATAGTTGTATAATCCAAATTCTCCATTTTTACCAACTTAAGAGTACATGTTGGCTACTTCTACAGACTTGTTTCCAGAATAACCCTTCTAGTTTGGATGCTGAATACAGTACCTTAGAGAGTCTATCAAAGAAGAAAAAACTTAATCCCAAAGAAAATCGTCTGTTCTTTTGACACCTGCTCTTCAGTGTATTATGCCTAGACACTTAGACTTCATCAACAACAAGCTGCTCCTACTTATAGAACCAAGTTTAGTATCTACTTTGTTGCTTTTCTATACATTTTGCTATAGTTCAGTTTTTGGTGTTATTGACCAGAGAATCATTAAAAAAGTTGTTTAAATACAAATATTTAACCAATATTTTATATATTTAAAACTAGTAGTTTAAATTTTACAAAATTTAAATTAAATATTAGTTAAATATAATATATTTTTTTATACTTAAATTTTAAATACAAATATTTAACTAATATTTTATATATTTAAAACTAGTATTTAAATTTTATAAAAATTTAGATTAAATATTAGTTAAATATAATAGATTTTTTTATACTTACAGTAAATTTTAAATACAAATATTTAACTAATATTTTATATATTGATAACTAGTAGTTAAATAAATTTTATAATAGATTTTTTTATACTTAAATTTTAAATACAAATATTTAACTAATATTTTATATCTTTATAACTAGTAGTTTAAATTTTATAAAATTTAGATTAAATATTAGTTAAATATAATAGATTTTTTTTACTTAAATTTTAAATACAAATATTTAAACTTGTTTAAAATTGCTAAAGCAAAATTATGGATAAATATAAACTAAATATTAAAATATTTCTTATTTTGCCAATATTTATCTAAAAGTTAAAATAAAATTTCGACTAGTAATTCGAATATAGATTTTATTGAGAAATTAACGATTGCAAGTAAAATTTTGTGATAAAATCGAATCATTTGATCATGAGATTGATTTTTAGTGTAGGACAAATTCGCAATAATCACAATTTTGGGCAAAATAACTAAATTAATCGGCCAATGATCACCTGACATTTGCAAACTGGGCAATCTTCACTACGAGTATGGAGAGCCTGGCACCAGCCGGATTCGAACCTGTACCTAGTGCAATGTACGGACCCGCGTTCTAACCGTTAAGCTATATCAGAATGATTATATAATTTTTAAAATGTACTCCTTATAATCATATAAGATTCTATTTGAATAGTCGCATCTGATTGGATGAAATTATTCAATTGTAATTATTATTATTTTTTTGATATTTTGGTAACCATCTAAAATCGATAAATTTTTTTTTATTTTAATTATACAGGGATATAGAATCAGAATAAAAAATTTTTCATCAATTTTAGATAAATGGTTGTCAAGATATCTTCGCTCAAAAAGTTTGAAAAAAACTTTGTCACTTGATAGTTATTCAAGTTTTTTCTCAACTTTGATAAATTATAGAATAGGTGACACCTTAATAAATAATCAATTGATTTAAGTAGGTGTCACCTATACTATATTTTATCCGTATAAAATATCTTCATAATCGTCTATCTAAAATCGATGAAAAATTTTTTTATTTTAATTATACAAACATAGAATCAGAATAAAAAAAAAATTTCATCAATGTTAGATAAAGTTGTCAAGATATCTTCTTTGAGCAAAGATATCTCGACAACTACATCTCTAAAATTGATGAAAAGTTTTTTATTCTAATTATGCATTCATATAGAATCAAAATAAAAAATTTTTATCAATTTTATATAGGTGATTATTGAGATATCTTCACTCAAAGTTTGGAAAACTTTACCGCAGTTTTTGTTTTGATATATGGGTCTTTGCCTTGAAAATTACCTTTCGACATTTCCGATCGGGTTAATTCGGACAAAATAAACCCGAGTACCAGTTCATGTTCATATGTTAATCATCTTTTACATTGATTCAAATAAACTATTGAATTGAATCAATAAAGTTAAAAGATGATTAACAACCCGATCGGAAATGTCGAAGGTGGCAAAGACCCCATATAGTTATCCAAGTTCTAGTTCTTTCTAAATCCAAGTGTAAGTTCTTTCTAAACTTTGAGTAAAGATATCTCAACAATTACCTATCTAAAATCGATGAAAAAATTTTAATTATACAGAGATATAAAATTAAAATAAAAAAATTTTTATCATTTTAAATAGATAGTTGTCGAAATGTCTTCGCTCAAAGGTTTAAAAAATTTTGCCAAAGTTTTTAGGCCGTTCGAAGTTGATTCTTCGGTTAACATCACCCCACTCCCTGATGGCCCCCTAGCAAAATCAAATTTAGTTTCTTTAATTGTTGAATAATAACCTATATTGCCGTTCTCGATTGATTTTTCGGTTAACATCACCCCCCTTTGATGGCCCCCGGTAATATGAACATATAAAAAATAAACAAATAAAAAATAAACAGATTAGGTAAATAGATCATGCCGTGACACCGGCAATTCGGCCAATTTTTTTTGCCGGCTTAGACATTTGAGTTTCCGTACATAGCATTGATCTACATGACTGACAAAACCCAAACAAACTAGTTTATGTTCCACGTAATCTTTGTAAAGCTACTTTTATGTCACATAAGCCAAATCCTATAATCCTATGCGCTTTATTACCAGAAGTAATCAACAAAGACAGCAGGTAACAAAATAGTTTGATAACAGTATTGAATTTTACGTTAAGGGGCGGTTCTAAAAACTCACGATCCTATTAGGTCTTGAATATGATTCGAAGAAATTATATCACTGCTGCTGCTCCCTCAATTCCGAACAAACCAGCAATTCCATATCCTGTAGATACCTCTGTTGGTCCAATGCTTCGTTATCAAAAGTCGCTTCCAAGGCTTCCTGTTCCTGCACTCTCCGAGACTTTGGAAAAATATCTTAAGAGTGTCCGAGCACTTACTAACGAAGAAGAATACGCAAAAACACAAGCTATTGTTACAGAATTTCAGAAACCTGGTGGAATTGGTGAAGAATTGCACAAAAGACTCTTGGAAAAAGCAAATAATCCCAATGTAATTAATTGGCTTGAAGATTGGTGGAACGAGACTGCATATTTTGGTTATAGGGATCCGATCGTCGTCAATGTGAGCTATTTCTATGCTTATAAAGACGATAAACTTCGTAAAGACCCCGCAACTCGCGCTGCTGCCATTGTAACGGCCGCCATGGAGTTTCGAAGACTCGTTGTTGAGTAAGCATATACTTTGTTTACATATGAAAAATTCACCTTAAAAGTTTTAAACTAATAGAATCTTATTTTAATTCAAAGACAACAATTGGAACCAGAATATGCAAAAAACCTTCCTCTTTGCATGTATTCGTATAAATGGATGTTTAATGCATGTCGCTATCCGAATAAACCTTCTGATTTCGAATTAACCTTTGACCCCGCAACCAATAATCATATGACTGTCATCCGGAAAAACAAGTTCTTCATTGTAGATCTGGTTAAAGATGGTATACAACTTTCAACAGCTGAAATAGAAAGGTTAGGAGATCTAACTTTATATATTTTCTTAACATATCAATAGTAAATGATTGACTATTAATCTATTAGATTGCTTATTTTAGCCAAATAAGAAAGGTTTATGAATTGGCTGGTAATACGAAAGATCCTGCAATTGGAGCTCTTACCACCGAAAACCGAGATAACTGGACAGACGTTTGTACTCTATTTTACATAATATAGTATAACCTTCAATATAACGAAGCCACAATGCCTATATATTTGGTTAGTGCATCAAGTATTTTATTAAATTGAAATAGAATCCGTATATATGCATATAAATTGAACTAGTGAAACTTCGTTATATCGAGTTATATTATGTACTTACAAACGTCGTAATATACTTGAAGTTTGATTTTTTTTTTTTTTTTTTTTAGTATCGAAAATTATTCATAGCTATAAGCTCAAATGAACAACTATTGAAAAAGATAGAAAGTTCAGCTTTCGTCCTTTGTTTAGATGACACTTCCCCCGTTACACGTGATGAGATTAGTCATGCTTGCTGGGTTGGAGATGGTCGTAACCGCTATTTTGACAAGCCTTTACAATTTGTAGTTTTTGATAATGGAAGAGCAGGATTCAGCGGTGAGGTAAATAACCAATCTACTACATCTATTAATTTGAATTTTAAAAATTTATAAATAAACAAGATGCATTTTTCTTCAATTCTAGCATTCTTCTATGGATGGGACACCAACGAGCAGATTAAATGATTTTGTTTGTGACGTAATTGCCAAGAACAAAATTAATTATGGTTCTCCTAATGTTCGTTCTAATCTATCTGAACCTGAGCAACTTCATTTTACTTTGAACAATGATGTTCTTAATGCTATCACAAAAGCTGAAAGTAACTTTGATTCCCTTGTTGCAAAGCATGATTTACGAGTATTAGCTTACCAAGGATATGGTAAAAACGGTATCAAGAAATTGGGATTCTCACCAGATGCATATGTACAAATGATCATTCAATTGGCATATTACAAGATGTACGGGGTTAGTAGATCAACATATGAAAGTGCTCAGACCAGAAAATTTGCTCATGGCAGAACTGAAGTTTGTAGATCTACATCAGTTGACTCTGTTAATTGGGTAAAAGCTATGGAAGATTCAAAAGTTCCAGTAAGTGCCATCTTAAAGTATTGTTACATATATAACAGCAATTTTAAAAAGTATTTTTACATAAAGTTAGAAGTCAAGGCAGGCTTGGGTCGTAAGGCGATACAGTCACACGTAAAATACATGTCCGAAGCTGTCGAAGGACGTGGTTGTGACAGACATTTATTCGGTGAGTGCAAAATATTCGTAAAACCCATATATAGACATACTTTAAATAGGTATACTGAATTATTTCTTTCAACAAGGTCTTCGTATGTCTCTAAGGCCAGGAGAGAAAAAACCAGCAATATTTACTGATCCTACATACATTAAGTCAACGCATTGGTATCTATCAACCTCTCAACTTTCATCAGAATATTTTGTCGGATATGGATGGGGAGAAGTAGTTCCTGATGGATATGGCATTGCATATCAAGTTAATGCCAATGTGATAAGCTTTAATGTTGTTTCAATGCATTTGAACAATGAACGAATGTGTCATTATCTTCGAGAGGCAGCAGATGAGATGAAAGAGCTATTTGAACATACACAGGCAAAGGAAGGCCATGTTCCAGCAAAATTATAGAATGTAGTAACACGCACGGATAGGAATGTTAACCTGTTCGATACTTTTATTTATGCTTTATTTTCGAACGGTTTACATCCCTACTTGCAGAACTATTTATTACCCTCGCGTAAAATTACATGATATAACGTGATAAAGAAACTCTTAGTGGTTTATCAAGTGTAAAATAAAAAAGACTTATTGATCAGTGATTTATCAAACGTAAAATATTTTGAATAAAAATAATTATGGTAATTAGACTAAATTCCTTTTGTTTGATGGATATTTATATGTGCATGATAATTAAAAAATGAAATATTATAAACATCATTTCTTTACATATTATATATATGATTTTGCCGCTAAAGAAATCATTTTACATAATTGGGGCTTGCGGGCAGTTTTAATAAGAAATATGTACGTTGTAATTATGAAATGAGCTAAGCTGCGAAATAATTACCGTCAGTTCTTAATGTCTTACAATATTTTGGATGCGATATAATTGGATATAAATCAACATTTGGTAAAATATTTTTTTGATAATTTTGGCCAGAATTATGTTAATTTCAGATAATTTTGACCAGAATTAAGGTGAATTTTATTAATAAAATAAGTTAACTGTAAAAGGGTATAACTTACGTATTAAATTTTAATTAACTAAAAAATAACTACTTTTTTGTGGATATTATAACTATTTTACGTAGTTTTTTTATTTATAAGCTTTTAAAGTTCATATATATTTTACATATACTTTGTACGTTGATTTAAGGATTCCTGAAAATTATTAATTCAAATTTATTATAGTGACTTGATTTAAATCATTCATAGAAATGCAAACATGGCAAAAAACCTTTTTGAACCTCTCGCACGAGATCACATGATATATAAAATATATGCTAGGTTTATTGCGCAAAGAACATCTATAATTATTATTATTTAAGATTACGTATATACATTTATGTTGGATGATAATGCTGTTAACTCTCGATATAACAGACACCATTACTAGTGTAAATTGATTTTGCTGTTCTCACGAAAACTATTTTTCAAAATCAAAATGTTCTCAAATAAAATTTCATATGTATCATCTTTACTAATGTTCTCGCATACTATTAAACATAAGAGAACATATTTTTAAACTAAATATTTTCAATTTTGAGATAATGATCCCCTGAGAACATGAAAGCATAAGATTTCCAACACTGGCCCTTACAATTCACTGGTTTGACGGACCAACTTAAAGTACCTAACCTTTAATAAAAAATTAAAATGGTTATAACGATAACGGATTCAGTAAAAAGGCTATATTATGTACAGTATAATGTCAGCACACTTATTGATACTAATTCATAGGCAATTTAATAATGCATCCATTAGAAACTAAAAAAGAAGAAACGAAACTAAAAAAAAAAAAAAAAAAGAATAAAAACGAAAGAAAAGAAAAAGAACAAGAAAAGAGGAACGAAAAAAACGACAAACGAACAAAAGAAAAGAGGAAGGAAAGAACAAAAAAAAACAACGAAAGAAAGGAAAAGAACAAAAGAAAGAAAAAGAGCAAAGGAAAAAAAGAGGAACGAAAGAAAAAAACCAAAAGAAAAGAAGAACGGAAGAAAGAAAAAGAACAAAAGAAAAGAGGAACGAAAAAAAGAAAAAAAAAAGAAAAAAAGAGGAACGAAAGAAAAAGCACGAAAGAAAAGAATAAAAGAATAAACGAAGGAAAACAAAAAAAAATAAAAATAAGTGAAGGAAAACAAAAAAAATAAGAAATAAGCAAAAAGAAGTAAAAGAAAACCAAAATACTGAAATACACAAATAAAAAACCATTTAACTAGATTAGATTGCATCCGACGTAATGTTTCTCCGATGTAATGGTTCTCCGACTTATACGTTACACAGGGGTTGTCACCGCCGGTGACAAGCACATTTTTTCTAAAAAAAAATAACAATAAAGGCTTAAAAGAAAATACTTAACCTCAAATCTCGTAAATGCCGCAGTAACGATTGAAAGAAATTTCTAATTCGTAACAAGATCAACTCTCACTTCGACCTAGGCCAGGATGTAGAACTTTTAAATTGTAACTATAAAATTTACAAAAAAAAATGAGTGTAATGTCTCAAATAGTTAAATCGGATTAGGGTGTTAGATACAAACACATCCGTAATAGATCCCATTTCTAGAATCTTAGCCTTTATCAAAAGGCTTAGGATGATAGGTTATATCTATTTAGGCTACTTGAAGCAGCGCAACGCGTCAGCTCTTAATTAAAAGAGCGGAAGAGCATAGCAAAAAGTTACTATAGCTATGTTGCGGAGGGATACAAAGATCTCACGATACAGATCCCTTTCTTCGTATGGAAGAAGCTCAAATAGCCACCACACTAACCTATTCCTATTGGAACGGATCATAGTCAAGACCCGCTTTTGTCCATAGAAAAATTAACTAACCTTTGTGCTCTTCGAAATCAAGAATTATGCGGAGCGATGCACGATGGACCTACGAATCGTTACGCAAAAAACCGTTGTACTGCAATGCCCCGGGATCCACGATTTTCGAACGACGATCATTTGCAAGTAAACCTGTTGAAGTCAGGAACCCGTTTGAAGCATTAAACGTTGGTCTTGTGAAAGCCAAGCCCCCATCAAACGATCCTATTGAAGAAAAAGACGCTTACCCGATTCGGTATAACAGCTGTCAAGGTAATATTACCTTGTCGGATAAAGTGTGTGGCCGTGAAAAAAAGAAAAGCATATGAGTCGATGAATGAGTCAATAAATGAATGAGTGAATCGACGGGTAAAGAACGATGATGGCGTAGAAGCCTTCATTTGACTTGCCTTCTTTTTCCTTCCATCGAATTTTTCAATGAGAATAGCTGTGTGTAAGGGTTGGACATTAAACTAAAAAAGAGTCGTATAGCTTGAGTTTAATGACGGCTTAATGACAAAAGATGGGAGAAACGTTCGATCTTGTTCTTTTTTCTTGCCCTGTAATTTTGTTATAAATAAGAGGTAAAATTCCTCTTGTCAAAATAAGTTATGAAGTGTGTAATTTGCTTCCCATACAAAATAAAGTTAATAAAAGTCCGTAAATACCCAAACCCAAACGTTCTTTAAAGTTGCATTGAAATACTTACATATCGACACTTAGTAGGCGCCTTAGACCCTCGCCAAATTAATATCCGCATCATCTCTCTACTAGGCATCGTTACACGATGTCTCTCTTTGTTGTAGCGACCATTCGACGTTTTAGTACCTTCTTGTTGGAGGTGTAATTTTGGTCGATTCGCCTCTGCCAATACTATAATAGGAAAAGGTTAACTTTATGATTTATTTCATATATATGTTGTGCCTCAGACTAACGCTTGCCTCAGATCACAGTTGACGCATATCGGCGTAACCCAATAAGCACTAAAAAAAAATTATATGTATAAAAATCGAACGTGCCAAAAAACTTAAACGGGAAGAATATACCGCGAAAATTTAGGCAAAAAAAAAAAAAAAAAAAACTATATGTATAGAGAGAAAAAAAATACGTATTAATTGGAAATAGAATGTGCCGTGAAAATTCAGACAAAGAAATTCAAAGAAAAGAACGCTACTGTTGGTGGTAAATACCAGAGATCCAAGAACGCTATTGGAGGTAAGACGACGCCAAAGTGATTCAAAAATATAGAATGCTACTGGAGTTAAAAAAGACACCAAAAATGATTTTAAAAAATGCTACCAGCGAGAAAGACGCCGAAGAAATAAGATTCCAATAATTAAAAGAATTTAAGTAAAAGGTCTTTTATTCAATTTATTTTACACCTATTTTTCGTTAGATTGCAGCTTAAATGATAATCGATAGGTTACGCACCTCACCTGACGATCTGCATCTGAGGCACAACATATACATGTAATTAAAAAGTATATAAGCGACTAAAATTTACCTGCAATTAATAAGTCAACTCGAATAGAATTCAAAACTTCGAAATGTCCAAAGTAATTTCCCATAACACAACTCGTCATTTGTATTTTGTTTTCTAATGTTCGACTTTGCACTGCATTTTATAAAATTAAAGTAAAAAAGTTAGAGTTAATAATTGCGATCCGAGTCAGTGTAAGTGTAAAGTATAAAAATGCGCGATTTCGTGACATAACTTGAAATTGGGATCCTATAGTGAATTATAACCCAGTTATATTAATTAATGTAAAAAAAGAATAAGAAATAGAGGCATTAAAAAAAAAATACTTAACTAACAAACTAAGTGCTAATTCTATAAATACTGGTACCGATATAGCACTTTGATTCTCGGACAAGATCAATTCGCTCCTCGATCTAAGCCTACTATATATTAAGATGTAGAGTAACCTTCGGATAGTGTTGTTAAAAATTAGTGAATTAGTTACGCCTTTTACAACGCACATTACTAGCCGTAATTCATCAAGAAAAATACAGGAATTTGTTATGGTTCGTTCATATTTATCCCATGACTGTCTTAAAAAAAAATAATATTTTTGTTATGTTCGTTTCACGCTTAAAAACCTACGTACTGTAGAACAGTATCTGATTTTAGCCAGGGTTATAAAAATAAAAAGTAAACAATCTCTTCCGTAATAAACTAAAGGTTTTATAAAGTTACTAACCTTACTTTTTAATATAATTAAATTTTCACGTCCTTACTTCGAGTCAACAACTTAATTTCAGCTTTCTTTGCCGATTTAATTTTTTTTACTGATTTTTATATGATCTTTCAACTTCCATTTCGTTTAGATCATAAGTGCTACTTTACTTCTTGATTGTAATTGGGCGAGTACTCTTCAGCAGTCTTTTTTTGATACCTATTCCATCTTGATTTTAAGGTGTATAAGTTTTTTCAACTAGGCAGTATACGAGCAGCCAAAAATAAGAACAAAAAAAAATTGATGAAGACATGACATACAGTCTACTCTGGATATAATAAGCCTTCCTAAAATGAGCTCTGGATACATTTCGATATAAAAAGTGCTATGGGTTCTTAAAATAGTATTGTAATTCTCTATAAAGTCTTCTTTTTCTTCTAGAATCTTCAGTTTGTTATAGAGAGTTGAAAAAAGCCGCGTAAAAATCAAATCTGATAAACACATGTTATATGATCTGGTCACGCCGCGTGTCCATGCTAACGCGTTTGCGTAATATGATAATCATCATATGATGTTGGGGTGTCACATGTATAGAAGACTTTCGTATGATTGGCTGTTTAAATTAAAGTACTTTTTTTAAAAAATAAAACTACGAAGAATAAAAAAGAAGCATATAGAAAGTTTTATTAGGGTTGTAGGGTAGGGTTGGGGGCACGGCAAATTTTTGGGGCATGCCCCTGGGGGCATGCCCCTATAGATATATATATTAAATATTATCGTAATTAGCAATAGTAGGTTTTAATTCTAATTGGCCAATTTGATAATTGACCAATTATATAATAGCCCCTACATCACATGATAAGGGCATGCCTTTTGATCAAAGGGCATGCCTCTCAACCTCGTGCCCTCAACCCTAATTAGAGCACAGTTCTATGATTGCTACTTTACTAATGCCATTAAAAAATTGGCTTGAAATAGGTCTATATCAGAATTTAATATTTTGTCAAGCACATTTTGTCATACAGGTATAACGAATATGCTGAATAACGGGACTTTTAGGCCAGCTCGGATTTCCGCGATATCTGATAGTAGACTATATTTAAACGTTAAGGAACTTTGAATTTATTATAAATCAGTAATTATACAACATTGATACACTTCTATACCGATACGTATACATGGAAAACCAAACAACCAATAACCATATATGTATGTATATATAGGATCATTAATAATAATTAATAATTGCATAGATTTGAGAAAATTTCTATATATATAGAATATATTATCTAATTTGACCCAGTTATTATTAGTCGTCATCCATTCGTTTAAATTCAGATCTATCATCTACCCTACTATTAACAATATATAATTTAATGGACAGGATTGTAAATATAATTAAGATGACAGCAACATAGGCATAGTAAATATAGAATATTGTCATTGATGCTCCATAAAGTGATAAACCTAATGGAACTTGAAATATTGCCAGGGCCATAAGCGCACGACCTAGCCACCTGTGAATCATAAAAAAGAACAATGGTAAGAAAAACAAAGTGAAAGACAATTGACATTGCAATTATTTACCTATGAAGATGAGTCCACCAAGGTGTGTAGTTTCGACGAGGATCATACATCTCGTGATGAAATACACCAACAGTCAGTTGAATGAACAAGCAAATAAAAAGAACCAAACCAAGAATCTGTAATATTATAAATTATAATTAACCATGGTAATAACATTACTATGATTATTGACAAATTTATGAAGTACCTTGTGGGGGTCACTAGTAGTCTGAAAACCTCCCGATGCAACATAAGCGATTGCATTGCCAGCGAGAACAAGAGGAATAACAAGGAAAACTAGAATACCTCGATGCAAGTTGACCCAAAAGGATAGAGTTCTTGATAAAATAAAGCATAACTCTTAAATAAGCAATTTAGAGAGATAAGAATGATGAATAGTTAATAGTTAATTGCTCACCTCGCAAATCTGGCCACCAACACAGCAGCAGGTAAAAATACCATCCAAGCAAAAAACATTATACTAGCTGCACGTAATTAACAGTGGTTAAATCCTATGTAACTTATATTCATTTCCCTCAACATAAAAGGTTTATTATGAGAACCTTACCATGGGAAATAATCAATTTATCGTAAAATGACAGAGTATCCGACGAGATCTCTCCTTTCACGTTTTCCAAAGTTAAAACCACATCACCTCTGTATATATGTTTGTTGATGCTCGAAGCTGGACCTTTACCACTTGGTCGAGTAGTGGCGTAGGCCCATGCGAAAGTTTGAGTTTCATTTATAACACTATCTCTAACTTTTTGAAGACGTCTAAAATATACCACCAATCGATCATTGCTAATGCCACTTGTTTTGTTTGGTATCAATTGTAGATCGTCTTGGTAATCTGTTGCTTTGGGTTCGTTGGGTTTATCACCTGAACGTTGCGAGAGAGTGACTGTACCGTCGTCATTGGGCCAAGCCACCTATAATAAACCGACTGATAAGCAAATTATTCATAAATGTGTAATAAAATGTTAATAAATAATACCGATACTTGCTATTAAATATCCAGACATTCCATTACCGATACCAATTCCGAGCCATCTGAATTGTAAAAACAAATTCAATTGAGTGATTAATATTAATATATATTATTATTTAGTAGAATTAATTTCACTAATAAAAATAACTCTAAACCGAATCTGACCCTTAATAAACTCTATCTAAACTGAACTTTAAAATTTTTAATTTTATTATAAAGTTCGGTTTACATTTTTTAAACTAAACCTTTTTTTCATTTTAATAGGTTCAAGGGTCCGGTTAGAGGAAGGGTGCAGTACATAATTTTTTTACCCGGCAGTTGATGGAGCCTCTAGACGAAACTCAACCCATTTCTGATCATCAGGTAAATTTTTATCAGGGAGGGTAATATTGAAACAATAATCAACATTACTGCTACAATAAGAGTTTTGACTGATTGTCGCTACGTATTAAAAAAAGTTAGTTAATTTTTATGATGCACATTTTTTGTTTCTTAATATGAATCCTTACATTGAAAGAGTGTAAATAGGATTAGTGCAATCCACAAAAATTTATTGGTAATAATTGTCATTTTTCCTTAAAATTTATTTTATTATAATCTTCCGACTGAATTAGATACAGATAGAGAAGAGAGCATCCTAGCATTAAAATCTCCGTCTTGTAATTATACATCAATCTATAAATGGACGAAACGTGCAAATTGCTTTTACCTAATTTGGGAAATATATAATTAATAGTTAATATTAATAGATAAAGGTGTTAAAATTTAAAAATACTAGGAGAAATTAACCGTACCGGTGGGTAAAAATATAAAATTTATCTGTTATGTTAATATTAGGTTACAAAGTTTATATATGTATCACTATAAATACAGACATTTCCTTTTACAAACGGTAATAATCATGTGATATAATAAACATAGCGATAATACGAAAGAGCACCTCGTAACCAGTGTATAAAATCTGAACCCAAAAGTATGTGAAACTTGTGCACAATGCACTTGAATTTATGTGAATAATTTGTGCACTATATGATTTTGTTACAAAATCAAATTTATATAGATAAACTTGAATACAATAAATTATGTGCACATGGAGAATATCTTTGGTATTTTATAACCGGGTTAAATCACCCAAAAAAATTTAAGATCATGTAATTTAATAATCGCGATATACAGATAGTACAATTAATGTTTTTCATACGTCATACAATTAAAATCAATTAAAATTTATCATAAAATTAATTGAAACCCTATCAATAACGAAATAATCGCAATTAACTGCAATTAATTTCATTATACCGCGTAGAGCGTTGCACGCATACAGTATTTCTTGTTCATCAAATCGGTAAATCAAACCCATAGTTAGTATCAGAATTTTTTATGGGCTTTTTTAATAATTTCGGAATTTTCGGAAAATTAACTTTTTAATTTTTAGTGCATTACGGCGAATTTATGAAATACCCCAAGATTTGAAAATTTTGACCACTAATTAAACAATAATGATTTTTGACCGAAATATAACTACTGTCCCAGGGTGAGGGTGCGCCATTATAATAAATTTATATGTCTAATGAGGTGGGGAAGAAGTGGGGAAGGTGGGTTAGCACGTTTCGGGGTTTAACATTGATTTATTTATATGTCATTTGGTAACTAAAATTTAAAATTGGGGAAATTTAGACCGAATTTTAGCTTAATTTCATAAATTCGCCGTAATGGATAAATGTGGAATATTGTAATCATACCTTTTTTAATACAACTAAAGGTACACTTTGAGCGAAAAAATTCAAATTTTTTATGCCATATTTTTTTTAATCGATAGCTTTTATTATGCTCTTTTCAACAATAACCTCGGTTTACAAATTTTAATAGCTTTTTTTCGTCGAATTTAGTTAAAGAATTTACTACCGTATTTTCGCGGAATAACACTCATGAGCGTTATTTCGAAATTGCGCCACCTAAAAATAACATTTTGGATATAAAATAAAAAGTTATCTTTAGAAGCAAGATTCTTTTTGGTTAATTTTCTATCTTACTTTATACTCGACCACAATGTAGTGTTTCATGAGTGTCGATCACTCAAATTTCATAGTAAAAAATTTAATCACCTGACCTGCGTGACATCTCTATCGACTCATCGAATCATCGACTGATAACTACTCCAGTATCGCCACCAAAAAGTTACTGTCACATGATATTTTTGTGGCACAAGCCAATCAAATTTCAAGATCAGGTGTCATGTAGCATGATCAGAAAAATTTAAAACTATTGTTTGTTTTGTCAAAAATTGCTTATAACTCAAAAATTTTTATATAAAATCATCTTTGATGCATTAATAAAACATTTTCTTTGGATGATTTTACTATATATTACACTAATCTTTAACTTTATTATGAGTACTAACCCAACTTAAATGAACTTAAAAATTTTTTGATACATCACAAATATTATTATGTGTCAGTATCTTTTTGATGGTAATACTAAAGAAGTAATTAACTGATATATATATATAATGTTTTAAGCTAGCTAATACAGCCATGGCTAAGCTAGCTTAGCCAGCTAAACCAGCTAATACCAAATGATCAGCTAGCTAATATAGCTAAGTTATATAATTTTTGTTTTAAATTAACCAATAAAATTGTAAATAAAATAAGTTATAATATATTAATTAAAAATATTATTATTTATCGTCAGTGGTGATATTGCCATGTATATTATATCTCAAAAACCTACTAGCTAACATAAGTTGAAGGTACTAAGTAAAAATATTTAGAACTTCAAAAACCTAACCTTAACAAAGATTTGAATTTTTATACCTAACTTTAATCTTGGTCTAAAATTACTTCCTATCTCTAAATTTAATATAAAAAAAAATAGGAGGTGGTAGTATTAGCACTGCCAATAAATGCTAAAATTCTTAATTAAAACCTATTTTTTTTTATTATAATAACTTTGTTTAAAAGTTATAAAAAAGATTATTGTGATTCTAACAATAATAAGATTATTAAAATCGGTTTAGTACAATAAATTAGAAGATATATATAAAAATTAATTATAATTTTTTAATATTAAAAAAAAATTTTAAAAAATTTTAAAGAATTATAATAAATTTTTACACATATCTTATGATATATTAGACTTAATAATATCCTTTACAATTTTCTTAAAAGCCCAAGCAAGGTTATCATAATAAAAAATTAGCTTTGATTGATAGTTTTTTATTATTATCTTATTTGCGATTCTATTAGCCAATTCTAAATGCAAAGATTATATAACTTTTTTAAAATCATTAAATCTCAAATCTCCTCTAATTGGCCTTATATTATATAATACAAACAATGTTACATAATATGTTACTTTTTATTAATCAGCCATTAGCATCAGGTCTATAAACATGTACCAGATCATGTGATATTGCATGTATCTGATCTGATCATTACATGATATATTACATATATAAGCTATTGAAATATAATTTTTCTTAATTTAATTGATCTATTACTTAACTGAAGAAATTTTTATATTGAGATGTGACGCAGATCATATATGAACAAGCCCGAATTGAAATTTTTACTTTATAAATAAAGTTATAAAATTTTTAAACAAATACAGCATTAAAGTAGTACAAATGATAGAGTGATACTGTAAGCCTTTGATTATAAAGTTAGTAAATATTAATTCTTTTTTTTAGTGAACTTTACTTTGTAGAAATGTGGCATTTACTATGTTAGACTATATTAATAAAGTATTAATATTGTACTTTTTTTCTAATTCGGCTGTCCTGCCCTTGTTTATTTGAGATCAAGTTATTCAAAATTACAAGTAATTTATCTCTAACTACAGTAGATCCAACCAAATGAAGAACTCACCCACATGATTTTATACATCAGGTGCGACCTGCCTCAGTAGCTCTTGGCCTCCCTCAGGGTCCTTAACTCACTAAGGACTTTTTTTCCATTGTTCATCGGCTGGCGACTACCCGCTCATCAAGAAGCAAAATCAGAAAAAACAAACAAACTAAAAAAAAAAAACACAGAGGTATAGAGGACTATGATAAAAGAATACAAAAAATGAAAGAAAAGGGGGTAAAGGGATATCAAAAAAACAAGGGCAGGACAGCTGAATTAGAAAAAAAAAAATTGCTAAATTTGCATACAATAGTATAGATCAATATTCACCTACAATCAGAAAATACATACTTGATCATTTTATAAATTTGTAAATATAGCTATAGTTTGGGTTAATTATAATCTATTACATCTTAATACATAGTTATAATTAAATAAATAAAATTTAACTATTTTTGATAACATATTTACAATATAATTTTAATATATTTATATTATTTTATTTGTATTGTTATTATTTATAATGAAGTTTTTACTTATTATAACCCCTTTCTTGAGTTATTAATTAACTATTTCTAAGAGTTCCAAAATCAGTTATTTGACAATTACAAAATTAAAATAATTATAAAATAATTTTATATAAATCTTATATATTTTATACACTTTTGCATAATTATACACTCTTGAATATTTATATCTATTTATACATAATTATATATAAATATGCATAATTATGCAAAGAGTATATAAAATATATTAAATTTAAATACTTATAAATTTTAGAAATTTTATATACTTTTGTATATTTATGCACCCTTGCATAATTATGTATAATCATGCATAATTATGCATAATTATGCATAATTATGCATAAATATACAAAAGAAGCATAAAATGTACAAGAAGTTATAAAATATGCAAGATTTATATTAATTACTTTAATTTTTGTAATTGTCAAATAACTAACTCTAGAACCTTTGAAAATGATCAATTGACAACCCCAGAGGAGTTATATTTACATAATATGTAGAAGCTCCCTAACTCTAAAAAATAATATAAAATTATATCATAATAATATAATAATTGTATTATTAAAAAACCTAGGTTTCAGCTAAGTGCACAACTATGGCATTGTACAACTATTCAATACCAGTTTTGAGAAATATTAAATTTAAAAAAGCTAATACATTTAATAAACCTACTAGTCATACGCTTATAATTTGACTGATTGGATAAATAATGCCCAATGCTGCTATACAGAATTAATTTAATTAACTAGATCAAAATATCAAATTTATCAAATTATATAACTACTAATAGACATACCGTATTTCTCCGAAAATAAGCACCCTAGCCTACACTATACCAGATTTGACCCGCTTACAATAATCGTAGCCTGCATTACATGCAAAAAAGGCGTGCTTATTTTCGAAGGAATACGGTATTTTCTTAAATATCAATTATCAGAAATTGGCTGTAATTAATGCAATTTGGTGTTTTTTAATTTCGTGTGTAAATTTTATGTGAATGTTTTTACGATTCTTATTTATGCAAAAGAACAATTAATATTTTATTACCGGTCATATAATTTTTATCGTTTGCCCAATGATAAATATTCAGCTTTTTCGTGTTCTTTCTTAAAATTTTCAATACCGGCAAGCAGTTGTTTATTATTTTTTTTTATATATGAAGCGAAATGTGAACCGAAATATGAAGCGAAATGTGAAGCGAAATGTGAACCGAAATATGAAGCGAAATGTGAACCGAAATATGAAGCGAAATATGAATAACGAAAAGAATTAGGTTTAAAAAAAAAACGATAATTACGTAGTGGTAGTTTAATTAATCGAAGATATCATTAATGTTCGTTTGGATGATTTCTGGACAATCACATAATCAACCTGGTACACGTTTTCGATTTGATGTGACGGATACATGGGTATCTCAGGATAATAGCAAAAGCACGTTGCCTAAGGCCACGTATGTTGCTGTCATTCTGTTGAGTCATGGTCCGCTATATCATGCCGTTAACTAGTTTATCAGGCAGGCACTATGTAAACACTGACAGAAAAAAATTTCGTATTATGCCGCAGGTTTTTATGTTAAATTTGTCCAAATTTGTCAATATAAAAACTGCTGTAATAATGTGAATTTTTCAGTGAGTGTTTACATGGCACCTACCGGATAAAGCCAATTACATTATCAAAAACAAGCGGACGATTTTGTTCTGAACTTACACTGGTTTCTAGTTCCTAGTTTATTCACATCCTTTTTTTAAATAAAATGACAGTTTTTAATTTTATTTTCAAGAGTTAAATTACCACTATCATATTTAATTTATTTTTCAAGTTAAATTACGTATCACAGCCATCACATCTAAGGCCACGCAAAGTTGATTTTTCGTTTTGCATTACATGGATTTCAAAATTCCCGGTCGGTCGGTCGGATTTTTT